ACGTTTCGTAGCGGTCCGCTCAGCCAAAGGTGGTTATTCTGGCTTTTGACAGGTGGTCACATTAATGTGACTGGACTGTGTATTTGCTGTCCGGAGCAAGTTGGCATCTCTGGTACGCGAACAAAAGGACAGTACAAAGGTTAGGGTAGTCTTCGATGGATCTTCAAAGAGTAAAGGGGAATTGTCATTAAACGATTGTTTAGATTGCGGTCCGGATTTACTAAAAATTATTTTGAGATTCAGATTGCACAAATTTGCAATTTGCGCTGACATTCAGCGTGCATATTTGGCAGTAGGGATCGCAGAACAAGATAGAGAATTTTTAAAATTTTTGTGGATAAAAGAAAAGGGTCCTAATCTCGATCTCAGCAATCATAATATCCAAACTCTTCGATACAAAAGGGTTACATTTGGAGTTAAGTGTAGTTCATTCTTGTTGTCAGCAACAATAAGATTACACATAGAGAAATATCGCAAAGACTATGGTGAAGCGTGTGAGATGCTCCATGAACTCTATGTAGATGATATGATCGACGGAACTTCTGACGTGCAGGATGCCTTTCGTTTGAGTAAGGAGATGATATTCATTCTTGGACAAGCTAGCATGAATCTACGTAGATGGACAACAAATTCTCCGATTCTTGGCGAGGCATGGAAACAAGCTTTCATAGATTGCCGAGAAACATCTCAAGAATTAGGCGTACCTTTAAAGATTTTGGGACTTATCTGGAACAATGTTGAGGACAACATTAGATTCGACAGTTTGAAAAGCTTAGATTGTGCAAGGCGATAACTAAACGAATTATCTTGGCAGCAGGCGGTATGCTTTTTGATCCCATTGGACTAATGAACCCTTTCAGTATTAGAATAAAGCTTATGTTACAACAGATTTGGGAAAAAGGCATTTCATGGGATGAGTGTATTCCCACTGAAATAAAGGACACATTTATTGATTGGTGTAACGAATTAAAGATAATTCGAAACTTGGAAATACCTAGGCAATATTTCGAAGAACTGGATTGGGAGTCATTAGAGATTCATATTTTTTCCGATGCAAGTCCTAAATGTTATGGAGCTGTAGCTTATTTCCGGATGAAGAATATTACGAGATTTATAATGTCTAAATCTCGCCTAGCCCCTTTAAAGAAGCTTACTTTACCGAGGTTAGAGCTGATGTGAGCATTAATTTCCGCAAGAATTGGAAGTTATCTTAAAGACACTTTCTCTAAGTTAAATGAGAAAAGAATATTTTACTGGACAGATTCTACAATTTGCCTACACAGGATCAAGGGTCAATCCGATGATTGGAGGCAGTTTGTTAGAAACAGAGTGATAGAAATAAAGGAAAAAACCAATCCGGATCATTGGCATCATTGTAGCGGAAAAGATAACCCTGCAGATAAACTTACACGAGGAATGAATGCACAAGCTCTTTTAAACGAAACTGTTTGGTTATCGGGACCTCCATGGCTAAAAGAAAGGAATATCCCATACGATGAAAGCGCCTCTTGTCCTGACTTGCATAACGTTGTAGGAGAGAGACAAAAAGTTGTAACTTTACATTTAAAAACTGTATCTATTCAACCGTTACTGAATCTTGATAATTATAGTGACCTAAACAAAGTTTTCAGAATTACAGGATACATATTTCGTTTCATTCATAACTGTAAGGCAGCGCACGAAAAGAGAATAGGAGCAATCACAGCGAGTGAATTAACCAACGCGGAAACTTACTGGATTAAAGTTGTGCAACGAATTGAATTTGAAAAGGAATACCTGGATTTAAAAAACAATAGTCCCATACATCCAAATTCGAAATTATACGATTTAAATCCAATTTTGTCAGCTGATGATTTAATAGCCTTAAAAGGAATGTTACAAAATTCAGATTTCGATGTTCAATCAAAGCACCCAATTATCATCCCAAATAAGACAAAATTTACAGAACTCTTAATATTTAAAGAACATAAAAACTTGTGTCACTCTGGTGTTTCGGATACACTTACACAATTGAGAGAACGATTTTGGATAATCCGAGGNATTCCTTTGGCTCATTTTCTGCAATTTATCGTAACGATTTAAAATGTCAACCTTTTCTTTCACAGTAAGATCTCTCCGTTTCCTTTCCATTATAAAAAACAAATCAGGTTACAAATCATATGAACTATGGTAAAGTGAAAATTTATGCTGATCTTCTTCTGTATGCGTCTTTCAAACACTTAGATGTGGCAGTTTCACTACCCCCTCCCCATTTTATTGTTTGACCAATAGCGATTCAGTAAGCGATCTGCCAAGATCAAGTGGCATACCCGAAACAATGCTCTCTTTTGAAGGTCACCCCTTACCCCCTTCCAATAGCGGCTGGGACATATCATCTGTCACAATGTTTAGTTCTTCTAAAAAGGGGCTCGTGACAAACATCGACTCGTTACTGGCAGGTCTTCTTTTCTCTTTATTTAGGATTTCCGGGAATTTGAAATCGCACAGTGCTGCGGAATTTTACAATGCTTGACCGAAAATGGCAAATAACACACCCTCATAATAACACATGTTTAAAAGATAATATACGAGCCCCGTTTGGACTTTTGGTAAGTTTCAGGAAACACTTCATAAAACACAGAAAAAGTTTTCCTTCTTGTTTTTATTGATTTCAGGAAAATAAAATTTACCTATAAACTGATCACAATAAACGAACATTTGATTACAATAAACGATGATTTTTCATTGTATTTTGATATAAGCTGACGGGACTAAGCGATTTTGATTACATTAAGCGATTGATAACATTAACCGTGATCACATTAAGCGGCGTCTACTGTAGTTTTAATACGTGACGAGAAAATACCAAGACAACTTTGGAAGTTAGGAAGACTTCCTGAATGCCACAAGGGTCGATATGGCAAGGTAAGATCAGTCTCTGTGAAAACGTCTTCAGGGGTCATAAAACGCCCAGTACAGTTATTGTATAATTTAGAAATTGCATCAAATGAGTGAGTAACAAATTACAAGTTGATTTTGTATAAGTGACTGTTTTTATTCTAATTCGAATTTATGGGTTTTTGCTGATATTGTTTTCATAAATTTTTGTATGATTCATTATTTATGTCGTGAATTGTTAATTTAGTAGTTTAATGTAGAATTAGTATTAGTATAATTTTAAATTCTATTTGTAAATTGTTTTTGAACTCTCTTTCGGGGCGGGAGGATGTGGCAACTCAAGCCACGAATAAGGTTAAATCCCCACAAAAGGGATTTCTACTAGGCGTCTTCCCTAACCGAGGGAGAATTCAATCAGAATGAATCTTGTACTGGCGGGATAAACATCTCGTGGGATCGAAAAAATCCGATTTGAATGTATAATACACAATCAGAAAATTTTTATGTTTATTTGTGTTTATGTTTAGTGTTCCTATTGTTCTGTTTAATAAATATATAAAAAAGGAAAATTTGGAAAATTACTACAATTTCAACGGACAGACTATTACTATTGAACAACGCAACCCCACAGGCTTGAAATATAAATAAATACTACACCCTTTCCCAATGCAGCGAAAACCATACACAGCTCTTACATTGATATCGTAAAAATTAGAATTTACTTTTGACGACATTACACTAGCTGCATTTTCACAAAACTTACATTTTAGTGCGATATTTACTGCCAGGCCTTTTCCGGAATTAGTTTCTTGGCATACGGTTATACACTCTGTATTATTGCAAAATTTACATTTGACAAAAGAATTTATCAAATTGGAAATGATTTTCAAATTTACAATGATATTGAAATAAATTTTCTTCCGAGTTGTTTCACTATCTCTGAATGAAACTCCTCTAGAAAGTTTTATTTTCGAAGAACTTTCATTTTCGTACACTGTTTCAGGCACTTCTGTCCAAACTATGCTGGTTTGGATGTGATTTCCTTTTACCAAATTTTTTCGTTCTAGGCATATTGGACGAAAATGTATCACTAGCAAAATTAATAATTTAACAACTTAAACTAAACTAAATAACAGCTATAAAATAAAAAAGAAATCGTTATTAAAACACGCTGATAGAATAGCAGCGTGGTCTAAACAGATTGCTTCAAGACGAAACAAGATTTTGACAGATCGATCAGTAATTAAAGCTTATTTTGATTAATATACAAGGTTATAGCTTCTAAGAATCATACTGCCTTAAATTTAAGCAGTAAGAATGAGAAATAAAAATCAGAGGAGAGAAGTTTCGCTTTCAACGATAACGAAAACTGTCAAAGGGGGCGTGGCTCTTTTGTTTACTTTTTTTATTTCATTTTTTCAGGGTTAAAATTAAAAAATTTTTAAAAACAAAAATATGGATGGATAGCTCACAGTACATAGTTTCATATAAAACCAAAATTTAAAATTCGTTTTTTCTTATGTTATTAGCCACCCGGCCCTTTAACTTGTTCCATGCACGTCTTAATGAGACATCTTTAACTAAATTCCAAGCTTCCGCAACCATGCAAATTTATCTTTTTGTGGTTATCCAACACACCTTCTTTATCCTTTCCTACTACTAAAAGCTTCCTTAAAAGTTGTCTTCGGTAAAGACGCTTCATTGTTTCAATAACAGATTGGTCCATTGGCTGCAACAAGTTTGTTACGTTTGGTGGCAAAAAGATTGTTTTAAATTGGCCATTTCCTTTTTCCAACAATTCTTCTGTGGGATGAGTTGGTGCATTATCAACAATCAAAAGCACAGGACTTCCTTCTTTTCCAAGAGATTTTTGGCGTTTTTTCACTTCAAGAATGAAAATTTCATCGTACCACTCTGTAAACAGTGCTGCAGTCATCCAAGCTTTGCATTGGTTTTTATAAAATAGTGGAAGTTTTTTAACATTTTTAAATGCTCTTGAGCGTTTTGACTTCCCTATTAACAGAAGGGGTATTTTATGGCTCCCAGTAGAGTTCGCGCCGTTAAGCACAGTAACGCGGTCTATACTAGCTTTATGCCCTGAAGCACTGCACACTCTTTAGAGGCTAAAGTGGTTTTGGGTAAAGCTTTCCATATATTCGACCAGTATCATCGGCATTGTATAAGAAGTCGGAAACGTAAGAGGCTGTTATAGCTTTAAATTTTTCAGTAAACTCTTCAGCAGCTTTGGTGTCTTCAGATAACTTTTCACCACTTAAATCTAGTTCACGAATACCGTGCCTAGACTTAAAATTCCTTAGCCAGCCGTTACTTGCTTTGAAAGATAAATAACCCAGCTTTTCAGCCAAGATCTTAGCTTTTCCACAAAGAATGGGACCTGAAATTGGGTTCCCTAAAGAACGTTGTTGTAAAAACCACATAAAAACGGCACTTTCCAAATCTTTGTTTGTGGCGGCCTTCATTGATTTTCTCGATGAACATCCATCCTCATTTTCAAGAACTGACACAAAATTTATTTGAGTAAATTTTCTCTTTATAATGTCAGAAATTGTAGCTTGTCCAACACCATATATCTCGGCCAACTGTTTGCCCATAACTCGTTTATCTGACTGTTCTATGATTTTTAGCTTATCTGCTAAGGAAAACACAACACGTTTTCGTTTAGAAGCTGGCCATTCTCATAGCTCTACGACTTATCTCATCACTGGCCACACGAAAGTTTTGCATTTACTCTGACAGCCAAAGTGTTTTACATCAGCTGAATAATCATGTAAGCAACGAAGCTCACCCTATTTTATGTATCATTAAACATCTGTTAGTTAGTCTTCACAAAAGTGGTTTTAACATTTTATTTTGTTGGATTCCCAGCCATGTTGGTATTTCAGGTAATGACATGGCTGACTCTGCTGCCCGATCTGCTGCAACTCCATTAACACTATCAGTCCCAATTTCTGACATGAAGAATTACATACGACAGTTTACTATGTCCTTGTGGCAACAACACTGGGATTTACAAATTGAAAATAAACTGCACACAATTAAATCCACGCTAGAACCTTGGCCTGTGTTGCAATTGCGCGGAGCAGATGTCAAGCTCACCCGTCTACGTATAGGACATACTCGGCTGACTCATCTTCACTTGCTGTTCGGAGAACCGCCTCCTCGATGCGATACTTGTAACGTTTCACTTTCAATTCATCATATTTTAATCGCTTGCCCATGTTTTAACCAACAACGCCTTACCTTCTTTGGAAGCACGATTTTATATATAAAAGACTTGTTAGATAAAAATCACCATCCTAACATCTTTGCATTTTTA